AGGTCAACAGTGTTACATTATTATAATAATACCGTATTAAAAATAAACTATTAGTGTACGACAACACGAACACTGAACAGTAGGCCAGCCTAGAAGTAGAACACACAGTTGACACAGGACGCTGAAGTCTGAACGCTAACATTCTGGGTTCTTAAAATAATATAATCACAATTGTGAATTTCTTACCTGTGGAAGGTTATTCCATTTAATTTTGATGTAGGGTTTTGATAATTTGTACAGTTAATGGCAAAACACTGTGTCCCTTTGGTGGATACTGAAAACGTAAAAGTTTTGTTTTCCTTTCCATGATCAAACGACGCCATTTTGTTGCGCAGGATCAATGTACAAGTATGGCCGACATCTGCGCATGTCGCGAAAGCGGCTTTTGATTGGCCGTGGCCATTCTAGTCTATTTATATATTTCTATGACCATTCTACTTACGTTACGTTACGTTAACGTTACGTTACGTTACGTTACGTCCTATGTAAACAATGCACGTGCTATCGACACCAATTACCGACGCGTAGAAAGGTATTTGAACTTTATAAAGGTCAGTCATCTTGCACAGAGTTAGAAGAAGGCTTTCGCATTACCCCCATCAAACAGACTGGGTATGAACTGCAAGGTAAGAAAAATATGCTTGCGAGAATGGTCGAGAAAATCTTTAATTCATACGTCATAGCCTTTATAATATAAACAAAATCATATTTGCAATTGAATAAGAGGAACTAACCTGAAACAGTCTACGCGTGGTAAACATATCAGGTCTATAAGAGTTGTTTCCCCTTAAATCTTAAATTTCAAGAATTAACTTTCGGGAAACTTCGTGGACACAAAATGACATGAAATGAAATCAAATGGGGTTTAACGTCCTACTGTTCTGTTCCGACTTGGCTAGTGAAGACGGGCGTACGCCATACAGTGTTTCCCCTTAAATCTTAAATTTCAAGAATCAACTTTCGGGAAACTACGTGAACACAAAATGACATGAAATGAAATAAAATGGGGTTTAACGTCCTACTGTTCTGCTCCGACTTGGCTAATGAAGACGGGCGTACGCCATACAGTGTGCTTTTACCCGGGCAGCGGCACTATCGCCTACTCTTATATCGAATTCCAACAGCCAGGAGATCTTTTACGTGCACCCCAATGTATACACGGGTCCTCGGTTTTTCGTTCCATCCGAGCGACTAGACAGCTGTCCTTGTCAGGCCCTCCGTCCTGCATCAATGACAAGGGGGGAAACCACGCCGAAAAATCCCGATGAACTTTCTCCACCAATGCAGGGATCGAACACTTGACCTCCAGGCTAGCGTGCAAGCGTCTTACCCACTTAGCCACCGTGGCTCCAAAAACCAAAAAAAAAACAACTTCATCGTAAAAAGTTATATAAGTAGATGAAATTATAAATGGCGATAATAATGAGCAGTGGTGGTCCAGTGAGTAAAAGAGAGAGAGAGATGGAGAAATGCGGTTTAACGTCCACTCGGCACAAACTAGGTCATTTCGGGACTAACATATGGTTTAATTTTATTTCAATAAAGCGCTTGCTTGTAGGGGTCTTTAGCAGTGGGGGAAAACGGAGGACACCCACGAGGTTGGGCAGGCGACCCTACTCCTTGTCACGTACAACCGGGGAATCGAAACCACGCCAGTTGAATCAATGGCAGACCTTATGAAACAGCGCACACGTGCTAACCATTCGCCCCCTCCCCTTCCCTGGTTTAAAGGAACTACGCTTCTAACTCAATATTTAAAATAAAACACGAATTAGACTTCTCTATTGACCCATGTCAATCAATATTGATGTAAAAATATGGCATCATAATATCAAATGTTTAAGAAACAATGAACACTTTAAAATCAGTACACGATTCGTGTATTTATGTGGCTTCGGACCCCATTTGTAATGAACAAAGAAAAACATATCCTACAATGCAGAAGTAATTTGTAATGTCTGATTTACATTTCTTGTTTCTTGTGTCCACGTAGTTTCCCGAAAGTTAATTCTTGAAATTTAAGATTTAAGGAGAAACAACTCTTATAGACCTGAGAGGGATCACGGTGGCTAAGTGGGTAAGACGCTGTCTCGCTAGCCTGGAGGTCGGGTGTTCGATCCCTGCATTGGCCGAAAAAGTTCATCCAGATTTTCCAGCGTGGTTTCCCCTTGTCGGTGATGCAGGACAGAGGGCCTGGCAAGGACAGCTGTCTAGTCCTTCGGATGAGACCAAAAACCGAGGTCCCGTGTATACATTGGAGTGCACGTAAAAGATCCCTTGGCAGTTGGAATTCGATATAAGAATAGGCGATAGTGCCGCTGCCCGGGCAAAATTTCCCTCATAGCACACTGTATGGCGTATGCCCGTCTTCATTAGCCCAGTATAGGAGCAGAACAGTAGGAAGTTAAACCCCATTTCATTTCATTTATAGACCTGATAAAAATTAAACAGTAATCACTTTATATACACTCATATTGTGTTTTTATGATCCCAATCAATAGAACCACGCGCCTTTTAACAGCGTTATATGTATAACATGAAATTGAAGATGTTTATTTTCTATGTTGAAAGTGATCAATGAAATTCGTGAAAACAAACACAGACGCAGGAAAAGTTTGTCGGGTTGAGTGGACGGACTAGTCCAAAATATTGTAAGCGATTACGTCGGAATAATGTGACAGTATTACTTTCTATCAGGTTCTTGATTACAAAACTAGTTTAACATCTTATAATACTTTTATTCTCTGCTTCTTCTAACATATTATGTACAAAACTTAAAGACTCCATAACTAACTTGTATTGAGGGAGCCATGTCCTAGCTTGGCACAAATGTGCCAACTCCAATACGCTCACCCTCATTCCGTCTCGTCCGTGCTGAGGCGCACATGGCCTGCGCTCTCGTGTCCTGTCTGGACCTCTCTGTTGATTCGTTTGCTATCTGGGTTTATAAACCCTCCCAAACAAAAGAATCATATCAGGTTTAACATTCGATACATGCTAATCAGACAAAGAAAGTTTAAATAAAACATTTCAACAACAAGTTAAGATTACATAATCACATAAGAAAGGCTACCAAGAACTCCAGGGGTCGGACAGGTTGATATGTTTGATATGTTGATATTAAAATCACTTTCATGTGTCGAAGTGGCAGGAAGCGTCTATAACATCTGTGGTTATGTAACAATAAGCGCAATCTGATTATAACGCAGATCCTATTTCGCTTCGTTTTTTATACTTCAAAATTTCGTTTTACTTGTCTTGAGAAGAGTTGCTATGTAACCCGCGTTCTGGCTGATGTGGGGGGATTAGCTAATAAAACGGTATGTTACTGTGGGTAAACCACTAGAAACGTCAACGTTGATTGATTAATCAATGTCTGATGCCATAAGGTCAAAATCCGCTAGTATGACACCTGACGCGACCTTCCACTACAACCGGTCAGAAATATAGATCAGTATTTTTATCTGATTGAACTAAGCGAATCAAAGACTTCTGTAAGCATGGATTATGACATATTCCTGAAGCAATGGCCCGAGAAATCCCTCTTTGGCCATTGCTGGATTGGCTTCTGATACTTGCGCTTTTGAGGAAGTTTGTCTATTCTTCCCGTTCAATCAAATTCATCCCAAGTACAGCAACATGACAGCCCTTCGTTTAATCTGGGGTCTTTCCTAAAACTTTGGACAGTGATTTAAGGTATTAAAAACGGTGAAAGTATGTTCGTCTCCAAACAGTATTGTTTACATTGATAGCCTCGTTTGTCACGCAATTAGTTTTTCTGTAATATTTTATATGCACTGGTTAATTGGGCATAATAAAATACGGAGTCATGACGTAACGTTATGTAAACATATTTGGTCCAGTTTGAAGCTCTGTTTTAAGCGTAATGCTTTTGTAACGCAGTTAGCTATTGGTTGTTAATCGGACCATTGACCAGTCCTAATTTGGAACAGAAATTTGCTTCCTTTACAGCAGTGTTAAGTGGGATTAGGTATAATTAAACGAAACACTGTGAAGAGTATGCGATTATGAATGTAACATTAATTAGAACACCGCGGGTATTTAACAGTTTTTAAAATAATAAAAAAGATATAATTTTCAATATATATAGTATTTAATTCTTGCATAATACATCTGTAATAGTCACGTGATGGAGGAAATAAAAGGAAATGAAATGGGGTTTAATGTCCTACTGTTCTGCTCCTAACCTGGGCTAATAAAGACTGGCATACGCCATACAGTGTGCTATGAGGGAAATTTTGTCCGGGCAGCAGCACTATGGCCTACTCTTATATTTGGCAAGGGATCTTTTATGTGCACAGGGCCCCGGTTTTTCGTCCTATCCGAATGTCTAGACAGCTGTCCTTGTCAGGCCCTCCGTCCTGCACCACTGACAAGGGGAAACCACGTCGGAAAATCCCGATGAACTTTCAAGGCCAACGCAGGGATTGAACACGTGACATCCAGGATAGCGAGCCAGCGTCTTACCTACTTAGACACAAATGTGGGATCATCGCAAAATAAAACTACGGAAAAGACATAGACATTGCAACAAATATCAAATCAAATGAATGGATCCGAGATGTTAAACGCTCGTCCAGATTGTTGGTTTTTCTCAATCACAGAAGGACTAGTCACCTTCTTACCCATGCAATGATGACAGGAACAAAATAAACAAGTTATTCTCTATTGATGAGTCAAGTGTGTTATTTTGTGGTAATATTTTACACAGGTTTCTAGTAAATACATGACAGAATGATGTAAGCATAAAAACATGGCGATCAATACACTAGTACTTGATGAACTGATCTTACTTAACGTACTCACAAAACAGGTGGCTTTCATTTGGTTAAAGATACCACAGAGAGAGAGAGATATGAATTTAACGTTTAATCGACACAAACTAGTTCATTTCGTGACTAACATATGTTGCGTGTCTTTAGCTGTTGGGGGGGGGGACTGGAGAACCCGATGAAAGCCTACGAGAAATAGAAACAACGTCAATTAAAGATCTTTTGATCTACTGCACACGCGTTAAACCAATCGGCACCCCCACCACTACCGCCAGCACCCCCAACACTACCACCAGCATCCCCATCACTACCGCCAGCATCCCCACCACTACCGCAAGCACCCCCACCACTACCGCCAGCACCCCCACCACTACCCCCACCACTACCGCCAGCACCCCCACCACTACCGCCAGCATCCCCACCACTACCACCAGCACCCCCACTACCACCAGTACCCCTACCATTTCCACCAGCATCCCCACCACTACCACCAGCACCCCCACCACTACCGCCAGCACCCCCACCACTTCCGCCAGCACCCCCACCACTACCACCAGCACCCCCACCACTACCACCAGCACCCCCACAAGAAGGAAATGGGGTTGGAATTAATAATAATTCGATATTGTTTTATTTCAATTGTTACGAGTACAATGTTAGGAAGAGAATTTTGCACGTACAGTGGCGTTTCCGACAACACGTCATCGAATTCCAGCTGCCAAAGGATCATGTACGTGCACACCAACGAATGCATATGAGCCTCGATCGTTCGTCCCATCCGAATAACTATACATACTGTCTTTGTCAGCACCACAGGCGCCATCCATGACAACAGACCACCTGACAAATCCTGAAAGATGTCAGCACCCTACTGACCACTTGAACCGCCCCACCCATCCTCTTCAATACATAAGGGACATATAAAGAAACTTGTGTTGTGCCGTAACGGTGTTCAAGATAAGAGTACGAATAAAGGATCTTGTGCACGGCAACCTTCACCACTTTAGCAGAACTGGGTCGATGGTTTAGGATTTCTGTGGAGCCACGGTGGATAAGTAGGTAAAAAGCTGGTTCGCTATCCTGGGGGTCGCGTGTTCGATGCCTGCATTGGCCGAGGAAGTTCATCGGGATTTTCTGACGTGGTTTCCCCTTGTCAGTGGTGAATGACGGAGTCCCTGGCAAGGACAGCGGTCTAGTCGTTCAGATGGAGAGTCGTGTATACATTGGCGTGCGCGTAAAAGATCCCTTGACAGTTGGCATTCGATATAAGAGTAGGCCGTATAGTGCCGCTGTCCGGGCAAAATTTTCCGCATAGCACACTATGGTGTATGCCTGTCTTCATTATCCCAGTCGGAGCAGAACAGTAGGACGTTAAACCTCATTTACTGTCGTATTTCTGTAGCTGGGTGTAGAGCAGATCAGCGCATCTTTAAGATAGGTTGAAGGCTATCATACGGTTTGAGGCTACTGGGTTCTAGATCAAGGTATCTTTAAGATAATTTGTTTGTGTGTTGAAATGTTATTGGGTACATTGTATGATTAAGTAATTGAACCATTGTAGAATTCTAAGAATCGACCATTCAATTAGTTATTGGACACAAATAGACTTGTGAATAATTTAAATACATTGTTATCAATAAAATATTGAGTCATCCTCGAGTTTGCCACCAACATGCAGGGTCATCTTACACCAGCGGTTTTCAACCTTTTTTGCCAACGCCACACCTTTGAACACATGAAAAAATAGCGGCCCACCTGGCTAAATATATATGAAAAATATTTGAATTTTGCAAAACAAAAACATGGCAAGTCATCGACGACAGACTAGCCATAGAAACATAGTATGACTCAAACTAAATAAAGAAAAACACAGCTATGAACTTACTTTATTGCAGTGTTTTGAATTTCATCAGCCACATAGCTGGCTTCTGTAGTGAGAAATTTTCTGAGTGTGCCGTTTTAAAATTTCGCGGCACACTTAGGAATATCTCTTGGCATATTGGTTTAGAATCACCGCCTTACACTATAAACAAGCTGTTTAGTTGCAATATAAAATCAAATGGGGTTTAACGTTCTACTGTTCTGCTCCGACTGGGCTAATGTAGACGGGCTTACGTCATACACTAAAATGTATAGACCAATGGTTAGTGCTAAATGATAAGGCCAGCTCAATTTTTCGTCACCCTAACCCTGGACCTAGCCTCAATGCTTACCCTAACCCTAACCTACAACCTCGCCAACAATCACGTGCTCTAACCTTATTTACATCTCAACGACCTTGACAAAAATTGAGCTGGCCTTATCAAATAGATTTAACGTCCTACTGGGGTTTAACGTCCTACTGTTCTGCCCCTACTGGACGAATGAAGACTGACATGACATCGTATTTGCATGTTTGATATTTTATGGCATTTATTTATATATTCGACACATGCCATCATTTCATATAACCTATACCCCATATGGTCATTCATATAACCTATACTCCATGACGTCACTACACATAACTTACACTCCATGACATTATTTCACATAACCTATACTCCATGACGTCACTACACATAACTTACACTCCATGACATTATTTCACAAAACCTATACTCCATGACGTCATTATGCGATAAATAGTAACGCTTTTTTATAGTTCTTATTATGGTATAGTAACACTACATATAAGTTGCATTATTTGTTTTATGTCATGAACGAAAATAGATTTATGTATTTTTTTTAACCCTAGGTATAAACTCTGGAATCACATTTGTACATTTCTTTTATAGGATCATACCGGATGTGGAACACAAAAAATAGCGGAACTGATGTCAAAGCAGCAAATTCCCAACCATCCAAACGCATCATCCAGACCTGAAACAATATAGTCTCTAACTCTTCAACATTGAAAAGACGAATTTTTTGTCAATTTAAATCAAAATTGATGTTGTTATCTTACCGGGAAAAGATGGGCTTCTGATATCCAATATTTAAGACAAAATAAACATTTTATCATTGTGTACCATAATGCGTTTCAGTGCCATTTGTAACACTCGAAGAACGGGGCTAGACATATTCCACAAGTCAAGTCAAACGGTGATGCCATATTTTTATTTGGAGAGCATGCGCAATAAATACCACCCATTTGTGTGAATTTCTAGGTCCCAAATATTGGAGATTTAGCTCCTTTAAATAGCCTAGTTGGGATACTTAACATTTAATCTACCCAAACGATGTATTACACCATCCAATATAAATATATCAATTTAATGTGTCTTCCTTACAGCGGGGGGTTGGGGTATGGATGGTCGAATGGTTAGCACGTACGCGCTCTATCATAAGGCATGTCAATGAGTCAACTGGCGTGGTTTCGAATCCCCGGTTGTACGTGACAAGGAGTAGGGTCGCCTGCCCAACCTCGTGGGTTTTCTCAGGGTTCTCCGTTTTCCTCCCACTGCTAAAGACCCCTACGCGCAAGCGAATTATGGAAATAAAATTGAACCATATGTTAGTCCCGAAATGACCTAGTTTGTGTCGAGTGGACGTTAAACCCATTTCTCTCTCTCTCTCCCTCTCTCAGTGAATAAGACGCTGGCTCACTAAACAGGAGGTCTCCGGTTCGTTCCCGGTGTTGACCTGATCAGAAACAGTGCACGTAAAATAACCCTTGACAAAATTCGAAATAAGAATAGGCCGCAGTGTCGCTGACTGGGTAAGTCCCCCCCCCTCCCCCGTAGCACCTCATGCCCGTTTGCCCGTCCTCATTAATAGTAGGGCGTTAAACCCCATATAGGCCATAGGCCTACCACTCCCCGTGAAAACATCCCTTTATATATAGTTGTCGACAGCATATCTACCTGTTTAGTTTACTATAAACAAATTTTTATCTCCGACAATTCTTGCGGTTTGTATGTTGTCAAATCATACGTCATTATTAATTTACAATATACGATAAAAATATTATTGTATCTCCACTTGTCAAACCAGGAGGGAACCAAACAGACGATGACAAATGAAATAATTGCGCGATAAGTTAGGCTGTTACAGTTTATATATAGCTTGTATAAATATATCTATGTACCCAGGGCGTTGATTGGTTTAAATAAAAAAAAGTGGGAGGAGACTTAGTTATACATGTGATACAGTCAGATACTCGTGTCAATGATTATATTATCTTCTGTCTATTTCAAACATGGTGTACATATATAATTATATATCTTATCTCAAATTGTTGTGAAATAAATAGATAGAATTATTTATAAATATCATATCTGAAATTGTTTTGAAATAAATAGAGGTATTGAATCGTTAAGATATATTTAATATTAAACCAAGGGAAACTTACTGACGTTTATTGGAGAACAAGTTCAATGGCGCCCCCCCCCCCCCTCACTCCTATATAACAGTATAAAATATTCATGTGGTCATCTTTTTCTATAAAATGTGTTAATTTGAGATTTTTGTTAGTTGGGGTAATCTATATTATATACGGGTCCAGATATCTGCCCCCCCCCCCACCAAATATTTCTCGGAACACCCCCCCCCCCCACCAAATATTCATCATCCGCTACTGAGTAGATTACATACTGTACTATAGATAGCGGACAAAGTATCTGATTCCCGTTTGGATGACAATTTTATCACGTGATTTATGTTCAGAATCCCAACTACAGGAATCGTGGATTTCATGGACAAGGTTTGTCATTGAGTCAAGTAGTGTGATTTCGATTACTTGCGATAGATTTGATTGCTCGGGAAGAATAGACACACTCCCTCAAAAGCTCAAGTATCAGAAGTCAATCCAGCAATGGCCAGAGAGGGATTTCTCGGACCATTGCTTCAGGAATATGTGTTCTGCGTTGCATAAATTTGAAGATATGAAATGAAATGATGTAATTGATGTTTAATGGCACGCCGTCATCAACCGGGCGATAATACGCCAGACATAATTATTATATTAAAATCTTTTTACTTTTGTTGTAGGCTTCACGAGAAATTAGGTTACATATACAACTAGTCCGATCATTACTCCAGCACATATTCAACTTTAAATTATCTTAAGGCAAAGTCTTAAGCAAAGGAATAACTTATATTAACTATGCAACCCGCGATTACTTATGCATATTATGGACCGAGTTATTATTGTGTACACCTATAGCCCCCTTCCAAATTTCCATCACGTGCAGGGAAGGATAAAATTTGTATGCAGTTTATATTAATATCAAACTCTACAGCCCTTAAATATTCAACTCAGTTGGACACACAGTTGTGGTCTTGGATTCCATAAAAATAAAAGTTATATTCTACTGGGCCGAAACAACTTCCTTAATATCCAAGTAGGCCGAAACGACTCAAGCCAAACAAACGCCCCCTCCCTCTTCACCTCTTCCGGATAACTAGATCAAACATGGGTGATGTTCAGCAGCGTGATGTAAACAAACCAGGATTTTTCAAGAAAGAGAGGCTATATAGCTTGATCTCAAGTTGGTTCCCTCGTGTAAGAATGTAATGGGATGGCAATTCCAGGTATGTTACTAAGTTTTAGCCGTTTAAATTAAAAATTGAAGAAATGGCTACCAATTTTCGTGTCGTAGTGTCACCTGGAACAGACAGTAAGTAACTTTTGTGTCAGACGTTGAAAATTTGATATTTCCGAAGAATTCATATGACGCACAACGATGTATATATACCTATATCACGTGGTATACAGTATAATGACTATAATGTTATCTTGAACAAAACAGGAAGTTCACCGGAAAGATCGACGGGTTAAAAAAAAACATGCGTTTAATTTCGGGATTTTCTTATTTCTATATTTAGTAACATTTTTCCCTAAAATTATGACTCCGTCATCCAGGTGACACATGGCGTTATTTCAAGTTTGTGAAATCAGCTTTACGCCTGGTTGATCTCTGATTGTGTGATTACCTTGGTAAACTTCCTAATGCTGAATGACGTCATTGTGCAAGTCTGAACAGGTCATGTGAAAAGTTTTCTTGAAATCTGGCGGTAAACTTCAATAGTTTTTATCGCAGGTAAAACACAGGTGAGTATTTATATAGTAACTGATTACAGGTGAAAAACAGGTGATATTACGTCATACAGGTGTATGATCAGTGTAGATATTCCAGGCTGTTCTACGAAATAAAAATCCGGATTTACACATCGACACAAACTACAATAATGATGATCAAACACTGCTTATCTTCTGCACGTGAAAGACAAAGCACGTGGTTAGTTATAGGAGGTTAATGTTACTCCAATATCAACACCTAATCACTTTGCATAGTCACGGGGTTGAGGGTGGATGGTCGAATGGTTAGTGTGTGTGCGCTGTATCATAAGGTCTGTCATTGAGTCAACTGGTGTGGTTTCGATTCCTCCGGTTTACCCCCACTCCTACGCACACGCGAATTATCGAAATGAAAATGAACCATATGTTAGTCCCAAAATGACCTAGTTTGTGTCAAGTGGACGTTAAAACTCTCTCTCACACTCTCTCTCTCTCAATCTCGAATATCGTCTCTTTCTAGGTGAAATTTTATCGCCTTTATCATTTTCAATATTTATCAATGGAATATAGGTCTATATGTTATAAACAATGAAACGGTAGTTTTACACCTGATGTAATATAGGTCTATATACACCTGATGTATCGTGATAATTGTATCTATAAAATCAACATAAAATCAGTGATCCATCATAATACTATAACATAATATCACACACCAAATTTAACAACATATCACTTGGTTGGAGGCGTGTTTAATCACCCATCATAATCTAAACCCGATTCACCAACAAGATTAAATAGTTTAACATCCTACTGTTCTGCTCCTATACTGGGCTAATGAAGACGGGCATACGCCATACAGTGTACTATGAAGGAAATTTTGCCCGGGCAGCGGCACTATGACCCACTCATATCGAATTCCAACTGCCATGGGATCTTTTACGTGCACGACAATGTATACACGGGGCCTCGGTTTTTGGTACCATACCAACGACTAGACAGCTGTCCTTGTCAGGCCATCCGTTCTGTACCATTGACAAGGGGAAACCATGTCGGAAAATCCTGAGAAAGGGAGAGAGAGAGAGAGAGAGAGAGAGTTACCCTACATTTCAGATAATA